AGCCTAACTATATGTTCTGTTAACAGGAGAATGAAAACCCAGACATGGCCATACCCCTTCTAGCCACACTCATTAATATTTTCTGGAAGATTGTCAGAATATATTCTGGAACATGCTGCTTAGGAAGAAAAAATATAATGATTACAACCATTACAAACATCTGTTAAGTGATAACTTAGAATGTGCAAAGCATTATTCTAAGTGCTTTCTGTTTTTAACTTATTTAATCCTAATACGAAACTTAAGCTTCATGATGGTTGTTTGAATGGGCATTATCAATTTCTTCATTTTAGAAGAAATTGAGGCATAAAGCATGTAAGCATCTTTAGGAGCTTATATAGCTAGGAAATGGAAGATTTAGAATCAACCCTTAAGAATTAGAAAGAAGGATTATTATATTTTAAGAGATTAACTTCAAAAACCCACTCTTGATGTTAGTGATTTTGATATCATCTTTTGGACAACTAATATTATAAAAAATTATTGATTGGTAACATAAACTTAAAGCATGAGGTAAAAAAATAATTGCATCGTATTGTATAAGAATTAGCAAGCTAAGTACTGTACTTTTAAAATACATATCAAGAAGATTTTTAGTCTTCTTTTTTATTTTGGACACTACTTACGGTTTTGTGATTTTAAGGAAGAGTATATGTAGTCTTCATATGCTATACTTAGCAATAGAAAACTATTTGGTAACTCTCAAGTAAAGGTTTAAAAATAATTTGAAATAGCAAAGATAGGTAGTTAGCAAAGTAACTGGAAATTGACATGAATTCATGAAAATTAACACAAATAATAAAATGACAATTTACTAAAGTGGATTGCTTTACCACCAAAAAGGCCAGATATGTGAACACTTAGTAAAAAGGAAAATTAAGGTAAGTTGTTGGAAAGGCATAGGGAAGGCCTCTATCCTGTTCTTTGTCAAAGATCAGAAAAAGATTATGCCTGTGTTGTGTTGGTTCTGCTCTTTGAGGCAATCAGTGTTTATGTCTTCTTATTCACAAAATGAAAGTATATTGAACACCTGTTCTATGCCTGTCACTGTGGTAGACACTGGAGATATGACCTTGGATAGAGATAAGACCATCGTCTTCCTTTTATGGTGCTGAAAATCCTGAGAATGATCTAAAAAAGTAATTTTGAATGCTATATGCATGGTACAAAAAGAAGGTTTTTTTTTCTCCCTTCTTCAATTCTGAAACTCCAACCAAGTGAAAATAATGAGCTCTAAAGTAAAGTAGTAGTAGGGGGTGGCTAACAATGGTGAATTACATCAAAGAGCATAGTGTTCTTGTATAAACATCACTGTAAGTTTGAAAAAGGACTAAAAACCTCTGGACAGCAGTTTTTTTCCTGAGGATGTACGTGTTTGAGTGTGTGTGTGTGCATGTGTGCAAGCACGTATGTGTGTGTAATGTATTCAGATAATCTGAAGCTAGGTATGGGTGTGTGGAATTATTTTTAGTTCCTTAGACTTGGATAAATTGAAAGCTCATTGAGGACTAGAAAATAGGGCATCTCTGAGGGGATTCAGTCAGAACATAATTGATCAGAGTACAGATAAAAAGAAAATACACATATCACTGATTTCTCTGGATAAACATTTTCTTCTTAAAGTTTGAATACATTGCCATGCATGTGTATATGCAAACATATGGACATGCACACATTCACACACACAAACACACAATGAATAAATAACCAATCTGATGTTATAGAATTATTTCAATACTGTGGGAGGAAAATATCAACATGAAGACTCTAAGAAAGAGAATTCTCCAAATAATTGAAGAACAGAGTTGCCAAGTAAGCAAGCATGCAGACATCCCATGCATGATTTTAGAGAACGGGCTATTAGTCTCAAAAGGTAGAGGAGAACAAAAGTGACACTGGTTTTAATTAGCTGAAGACAAATACCTTGTCATGGCCCATCTGGTCATACATTCCGGCCTTCACTGTTGGGCCAGGTAGATGTCTTTCTGTCTTGGAGAATATTTACCCAAAAGGTAAAGTGTTGATGAGAAAATGTTTTGGACAACAGATCTGAATCCAAGCTGTGTGCTCACTTAGCTAATTTCCCTAGTTTCCTTCATACACAGTCTTTCAAGAAGGAGCTGTCTCAGAAAAAAATCACTCCTATTCAAAGATGCACAATTATAAGAAAGTAATCAGAATGCAACCTAAGCAAAAATATCACAACAAAAGGGGGAGCCAACAATGATGGTGAAAAAAATCAGATGAGGAACATAAGTCGATCAATACTCAGCAAAACTCTCTTTCAAGAAGTAGAACAAGATGAAAACATGTTCTCATAAAGAATAATGAGTTAAATTGTAGTAAATATGTGAACTATTCTAAACTAACATTGGCTGTATAAACAATAATAATTGTTAATTTGGAGATTAAAATAAATTAGATATAATTAAGTACTAGACCACAAGGCTATATAAGTCTGGGTTGGGTGATCCAAATTTTAAAAGTTCTTTGTATTGTCCAGGAGGAAGTACAGATATACATAACTTTAGAAGTTTCAAGAATGCATGTTAAATTTTTAGATGTAACCACTAAGATAGCAGAGGGTATATCTTTCTACAGCAGAAAGAAAAGGAAATGAAAGCAGTAACAACAACAACAATCCTTGATCAATTTGGAAGGAGGTCCAATGGTGTCAGAAAAATACAGAAAATTGTACAAATAGAAGCCTTCTCTAAAACAGTAGAAATAAAAAAGTGTGTGTCAGAAACACATAAATATAAACGTTCTGAATATATTTTGTAAAATCTCTAGATTGTGACATTGTATTAAAAAAGAAAAAAGCCCATCAGTTGTATGGAGACATACTAGATATGCAAAAATAAGGATTGCTTAAAATGAAAAGGACAGGAAAACATATCCAAGGCAAACATAACAACAGAAAACTGGTGTCATTATGTTAAAAAGAGCCCAAACAGACCTACCTGCAAAAAACACGTCTGGAGGAGAAAAGAAGCACTTTATAGAACTAAAAGATTCAATTCACCTTGTAGGTATCTGAAATGTGTATATACTAAAAGCAATTCCTTCAGAATTCATGCCGTTACACATTATAGTGCTACAAGAGAAACAGACAAATCCACTTTCATAATGAAAGGATTGCATAGAAATCTCACAAGATTTATAGATCAATTAGATAAAATCTCATTAGGCATGTAGAAGAGTTGAAAAAAACAACAAGCTTGATGTAATGGACATATGTAGAATATTGCATTCAATTAATGGAAATTACACATTCTTTTCAAGGACAATCATTGCTTATGGAACTTGACCATATATTCTGTGACTTTTAACATAATTCAAATATTACATAGACTATTCTTTCTGACCCCAGTATATAGTTAAATATCAATAAAAAGAAGAAAATTTACAAAATAACTCATAAATATTCAACTTCAAAACATTTCTAAATAACTCAAGAAGAAAAAAATCACAATAAAAAGGAAAATATTTAGAAATACAAAATAAAGTCGTCAAGAAAAGAAACATGTTTGTGTTAAGTCAGACGTTCAAAGATACACATCATCCTTATTCTTGTAGCAGAAAATAATTCTTGAAAATATTCCATCCAACAGAAAAATAACTAATAACTTAAAAATGGACAAATTGTATCATTAAAGGACTATTACTAAGAGCTGATAAGAAATAGATTTATGCCTAAATAATTATAAGGATTCATTTTTTGCTATGATTATCAGTATATCATTTCACCGGATCATAAATTTGGAAAAGAAACTAATAATTTAATTAGACATCCAATGCAATATATTCCTAGATAGGAAATGACTACCATATCACTTTTTCTTTCTAAGATCCAAGAGAATTATACTGTGCTGTTTGCTTACTTGAAGAGGGCTTCCTCACGGAGAAAATGATCCCAGCTCTGAGAGGAAAAAAAAAAGTGAAATCATGGCCTGGAGGCTGACACTGGCAACAAATGAGCGTGTTCATTCAATGAATCAGTTAACTCATTTGCTTAACGTGATCCTTTTGCATAGAAGCTGGCTGTAGCCGTCTTGTTTGCCATCTCAGTCCTGGTACTATTTCCTGATGCTCAATTCACAGACTTACTTTCTGTGTGGACCAGATGGCAAGTAGACATATATGGAATAGGAGTTGCATGTCATGGAAAGAGCCCTTGAGTTGGAACAAGAAAATCTGGATTCAAATCCGAGCTCTTGATGACGTTGCTAATGACCTAGGTGACGTTATTCATTACGTAAGTGACATGGTTTCTTTAACCTTTCTGCTGTTACCTGATATACAGTATGACATTAGATAATGTACTTAAAAAGTTTGACACTATACACAAGTTACATAGTATAATTACTTTTTTAAAGTAGAGCATGTCATTTCTGTCTTTAATCCTAAGTACCAGAAATCTATTTGTTCCCGTTGGCCTTCAATGAGCTGCCAGTACAGCGGCAAGCAGGTAGGACAAGGCAGGAGCCCAGCCTGGAGACAGAACAGAAGGAAACCAGCTGCTTTTCTCCAGTCAGTACGAAGCCCATATGTTAAGAATATCCACCCTTCCTTTAACAAGAAAATCCTTTTGGAGTCATCATCAGCATGCAGTCTATAGCCTACTGGCACCAGCTTCAAGATAGTGAAGAAAAAGTGCACAAAGAAAAAAAAATCTACCAGCAGACATGACTGAAATTGGCTCAAGACTCTGATGGGCATAAAAATGAGCAGTTAGGAGATGACATAAAGGATATGATATCTACGGGGTCAGCCGAAGAGAGGGAGGGAAAGAGGGAGCGCGGGAGAAAAGGGATAATCGAGGCATAATCTGTTCATCTGGAGAATATTTACAAACTTACTCAGATTTTAAACTCCTCTACCATTTACGTTTTACAATATGATTAAGGAGCTACTTTCCCTCAACAATACTTTGGAATTCAAATACTCTTCTATGTATTTGGTTAAGTACAGGAAGTTTACTTGTTTCAATGTCTTACCTGAAGCGTACATCTTCCTGAAATGAAACATGATCTCATTTCTTTTCAAGAGTGAAATATGCTCGTACAAGCTAAAACACTTCTGTTTCAAGGGAACATTATGCTTCCACTGAAAGCTTTTATTCCTGTTTGGCAGGTTTGGCTTGTTTAGGAATCTATTTTTCATCAAAGCCTGGAGGGCTATATGGAAAAAAAGGAGTTTACATAATGAATACAGGATTTAAGCACAAAACTTAACAAGGAATTAGCTTCTCTGTGCTAAACAGAATTTGTGCCAAACAGCAACATGCAAACAAGAATATATTTTTTAAAAAAGTGGGTAAGGTGAGCATATTTCTCCTCCGTGTTTTTGGTCATATTACTATGCATTTGAATGCAGGGGTGGATGGGGACAGGAACAAGTGGTTTCAATTCGTAGAAGCAGAAGTGAACACTTGAAAATGCTAGTCTAGCCATTCTGTGAGTTTGACTATCAAGTTATTTTCTTTATTTAATATGTTCTTTTTTTCAAGTTTAGGAAAATGTCCATTTTGTTTTCTCAACCTCAGGACCACTGTAAATTTCGATCTTTAAGATATTTCTTATTTATCTAATCATATTTCAAAGAAACAGAAATAAAAAGGAATAGTTAGAAGGCTAACAAGAAAATAGATGTGGGTAGTTTGTTGTTCTCATTTTGGTATACTGTTGTTGAAAATGAGCAATGAGTGGAAATTTTGTGGCAGCCCATAAAATTATCTAATTGGATCCAGGAACAAGGTTCAGCCAGAAGCATGCTTGCTTTATTGGAGAAAGTTTTAGCAACAAAAATATGTTGGGTCAATATTTTTGTTACCAAAATATAATCATAGGAATCTCACTTTTTTCTTGTTTTCTTTTTCCTTTCTTTTAATTTTATATTAGTTTTTTTTAAGACTGGATTTTTTTGATGGAAAGATGGAGAACAGAAAACTGTGAATTTAATTCACTCTCAGTGCTGCTTATGAAAAGATATTTATAATATCAAAGGCTCAAAATGTACATCCTTCCCTCAGAGATTAAGACAAAGTAGAAGTTTCGCCTGGAAACGGAAAGCGAAAATGGTCGCACCTTTATATTTTAATCATAACCTAGATTGCAATTCTGAACTTTGAGACTCTGGAGAGGTAGAGGGGTTTAAAAATAGCTTTACATGTAATGATCTTTCCTTAATACATTTATGCTAAGCACTCATTATCTCCTTACACTAATTCCTACAATGGGCCACTAATTTTTAGGAAAATACTCCCTTGAAAAATTGGGCATTTTTTTGGACCTACAAATCTCTTATCCTGTTATAGTATACTCGTGTACATTTGAGGAGAGGCTGAGAGAGCTGAATTGTTTTGAAAAGGAACAATCTAACCTTGGAGGAACTGAAAGATTAAGGTTAGCATGGTTTGATAGCTATTATTTGTTAACAAGAACGGGTACTGAAATGTACCTTGTACTTTGTTTTCTTTGAAAATACGCCCTTCAATACCATCTATTTCCTTAATATGTATGCTTACCTATTTCAGTAGAACTTTTAATTAAAAATAAAATCCGATGGACAATTGTGCTATTTCTATAATTCACTTTCTCATGGTTTTGTTCTATGCCTACTACTTAAACAGGCAAAACTTTGTCTCTTACTGAAAAGTTTCTCATTTTTCAGGCAAAACATTTAAGACAAAATGACTAGCCGTCAATGCTGAAATTGCAAGTCTTTTGGGAAAAAGGCAATCTTTACAGTATCAGTTTCTTCCATTTCCTGTGTGTTGTGTTAGTATTACTTTAGGTTATCTTATCTATGCTTTTTATTATAAAATGCAAAACTAAAAAGTGTTGGAAACAAGAGTTTTCAGTGTTTTGGTGGGTAGACTCCTAAAACTTTCCTGCTCATGGCATTAAGAAATTAATGTCCAAGTACATACAAACTTTTTTCTACATACGTTTATTTCCTCCCACTGTAAAGTAAATATAATTTATTTGTTCAAAATGCCTTAATTTTAATTTTTTATTTTTTAAATGCCTTAATTTTTAGAAAACACATTCCAAGATAGGTTCTGTAAGTATCCTTGCTAGGCAGCCTGTAGTCTTGCCTCAAACCTGGGAAAGATTCTTCAACCTAGGCTTTAACAATAAGATAGAATTTAAGAGTAATCTTGAAATTTTGATTTGGAGCATTACAATTCACAACCGTGAGACTGGCAACATTCAAGTTTCATATATGCTCACAATTTCCCTACACCCATTCCTCTTAATATTATTTGCATAAATCCTTTTGAAAATAGGACCTCACTTATTAAGTCAATCATTCTGATAGGGTATCTACTAGGTGCCTACCACCTGCTTGGTTCTGGGTGTAGTCTGATAAACTGGCAAGGTCCCTCTTATCATGCAGCTTACATTTCCTTCCCCCAGCACTACCTAGTATGGTGATCTGAACCCAGTTAGTACCTCATTGAAAAACAAGTGAAGGCAGTTGCAGAGATGATAAAGTTATTTGTATATTCCTACTTCAAATATTAGGAAACCGACAAAGAAAAGAAATGTCCTGATCAAGTCATTTTGAAATTAAGTGCTAATTGCATTGCTGCTATATGAAAAGCAAATTGCTTGTTCTTTCATTCACTTTAGCCTGGGGCTTAAGGAAAAAGTGTATCAATAGAGTATGAAGTCCTTGTAAAGATAGACCTTTCAGACCTTCAAAAGTAGTATTTGTTTAAAGTCTAGTGTAAAGGAGCAAGAAATTGATATTGATATTTCCAGACCTTATACAAACTATGTTTTTGACATTCTTAGTGAAATTAATCCAATCGTTTTATTCTAAAGGATTATTCAATTACTAAAGAATAAAGACAAATGGAAGGTTCATTAAAGAGTATTCATTTGAAATAAAACAGTATTTTAATAATATCTGCTCTCCTGGGGTGCTCATTGTTCATTAGTAGCACTGGCAAATGCTGTGGATTGGTTCACTAAATACCATTCCAACCTTTTTCCTTCTGTACATGTCTGCCTGCAGATTCTGAAAAGCTTAAAGTGACACTTCCCAGGAGTCGGGTTCTACCAATAAGATGTATTGAAACACATTTTAAAAGGTGAAAGCAAGGAATATTTGTGTTGCTTTGGAGTTTCTTTTCTACTGCCAAACAAGTTCATGGTTTCCAAAGCAATACTCTTCCCTCCTTCCCTGGGCATTGGGAGGCAGCTATGGCAAAAGTAATGGTGACAGCTAATTCCCAGTTTTCTGTTTAAGGGGTTGCTTTTAAAGTGGAATGTTTGTACTCAGTAGTTAGAGTGGTGGCCTCGATTCCTGGATATGTCTGTTCTGGAGTATTCTTTTCCAGTTTAGAGCCCACAGCTTTGGCTCTTCCTTTCATCATTTTTTGAAAGTACTGTGTTCTCTGAATTATGTTTTTCTTCCCTGCTTTAAGTATTTAGATTTGTTTCTGAATAACACAGTAGCATGTCAGACTATGAGTTGTTGCCCCATATCTGTTCTTCATCTCTTTCCATAATATAGTTTCGATGGGTCACATATCTATTCCATTAAAGAGTGCTTTTCTCAGCCTCCCTTACTGAAAGGTATGACCATGTGTCTAAGTTCTAGATAATGGAATTTAAACAGACGTTAGATTTGATACTTCTGGGTTTTGTCCTTAAAATGATACAGCATGCAATATTCTGGCACCTTTCCCTCTTACTGATCACTATATGAAGGCAAAAGTTGCACCACTTCCCTGAATCTAGAGATGGAAGTTACACGTTGAGAATGGTAGATTGCTCTGTATTATTTTATGAGACATACATCTATCTTATTTAAAATGCTGGGGGGCACCTGGGTGGCTCAGTCGGTTAAGCGCCTTCCTTCAGCTCAGGTTATGATCCCAGGGTCCTAGGATCGAACCCCACATCAGACTCCCTGCTTGGCGAGGAGCCTGCTTCTCCCTCCTCCCTCTTGTGCTCTGTCTCTCGCTAGCTCTCTCTCAAATAAATCAATAAAATCTTTAAAATGCTGGATTTTAGTCTCTTTCTAATGGCATCTTAATCTTAAATAAAACATAACTTGGTTACTAGAAGTGGGACTCTACCATACTAAAAAAAAAAAAAAAAATGAGACCTTGGTCTAACAGGTAGTGGGAGGCAAGAGCACATATATTGCAGGCTGGAATACAGCGTTTTACAACAGCCCAATGACAGCATTATACAACATTGGATAAAACTGTCACTTGTCATCCTTAACAAAGGTAGACTACTTGCTGAAAGAAAACGTACGTAACCTCCGCGAACTGTTTGGGAGAACTCAGAACATTGAAAAACACAGACCGTTTAGATATGTTGGCTGTTTCTTGTTGTGCAAAGTTCTATGACAAGACATACTTGGGCTGGTTATAAGAGGGGATTTTAAAGAAGCCACTTTAACAGTAAATAGGCCTCCAGTGCCCACATTAAAACTTCTTGGTCAATTGGGGTCCATTCTAGTTTCAAAGGTTGGATTAAGGATGATGCTTTCCTATCTAAACTAATATTTTCAGATAGTTTCAAAGTAGACACCATTAAATTGAAGGGAAGCAGAAATGTGCTGAGCAAAGAAACCAGTAAATATAGGAAGGTAGTCTGCAAGCATAAAAACCTTGTCTAGATTAGATCTTTGGTGATGGTTATTTGCCTGTGGATCTGATGGTCAGTAACTAGACCAAAAGCTTACTAAGTTTTTTAGGGATTGTATTGATTTGTAAAAGCCAATGTGTGTTTGACCTTTAAAGCAGTTTCAGAAGCCTCCCAAAGTGGCTTTGCAGAATATAGGTCATAGAATGTGGGCAGTCCCTGATGGAATAGCATCCAGTTCTCTTGTAAGGAAGGAGATAATTCTAGGGTCATCAAATTCTTTTGAGAGTGAAAGGGACACATTCAGAACAACGAATTCATTCATTCAATATTATACCAGGGCAATGCATATAAATCAGGATGGTCACAAGAAAACCAGTCCCTATGGCAATAGAAATAGTGGATAAATATTCCATAGTAAAAAAATATCCCATAGTAAAAAAAAGGAACCATAAATGACAAGGGGTGAAAGAATTCCTCCCACAAAATATAATCAGGATTTATTCTGATAATTTTGCTGCCACACAAGGGAATGTTTGAAATTCCTATCCAATAGGGTTT